ACAGGGCCGCTTCCCTTGAGGCCCCGTCTGAAGGAAAAGCAGAGGAGAGAGCTGTTACTCGTGCAGGGGAGTGCTCCGGACAGCACTCCTTGCATTGCAGATGGAGCTGGAGAAAGAGTTGCTTAAAGTCCATAGTGCAGAAATGCCCCTAGACTGGAAGCTGTGCGAGAGTGGACTCTGTCTCCTGCCCAGGTGAGAAAATGCTGGTTACAGGGAGCCACGTTTGTCTGGAGAACCATTAGCCAGTCTGCACCAGTTCCTTCACCACCACCCACCACCCCCCGGGCAGTGGGCCTAAATCCCAGCTGTGCAGATGCTGGATGACTGCAAAACTGGGCGTCCTCAGTGTCCATGGGAGAGCAGCCGGCTCATGACAGCGGTGGCCCTGGCCTGCGGGCACTGATGGTGCCACCCACGGGGCTCTGCTCTGGGCACAGGGGGCAGGCCTACCCGCTGCTCCAGGCCCTGCTCCTACCTACTGCATAGCCAGCCACACACGTCTGCTACATTCACCCTCTTCTCTCTCGCTCTGGCTGGTGCCAAAGAAGCCAAGACCCGGCCGTGTTTTGTAGTCTGGCCAGAAAAGCTCCCTGCCCAAATTGGCCATGAGCTTGAAGGCGCCAAGGCGCTGGTGCCCGTCCTCCCCCCGTTCAGCCGGCCCAGTGTGCTTGTGGGGCGTTGCTCCCTCTACAGCCGAGTGTATATTTCTAACCCACAGGAGTCATCTACGATTCGGAGGGGCACCGGGTGGAGGCCACGGAGGTAAGGGCTGCAGTGCCATCCCTCCTGCATGGGCCACAGCTGGGTGAGGGTGGTGAAGTCGTATCGTCTGTTGCCGGCCTGAGCTGGTCTGGTGTCATGGTGAAGTGCGCGGACTCTAATCTGGGAGAACCAGGTTTGATTCCCCACTCCTCCACTCGCACCTGGCTGGGTGACCTTGGGCCAGTCACAAGTTCTCTCAGAGCCGTCCTTGAAAAAGAGCAGTCTCTTTCAAGAGCTCTCTCAGCCCCACCTGCCTCACAGGGTGTCTGTCTGTTGTGGGGAGGGGAAAGGAAAGGAGTTTGTGAGCCACTCTGAGACACCTTCGGGTAGTGAAGGGCCATGGGGTATAAATCCAATCTCCTCCCCCCCCCAAGGGTCCCTGGCTAGGCCTTCTCTCTGCTACTCTGTCTCATGGGGAGGGACACGAGGGGCCTGCAAGCCCCCATTTGGCAAGCCGCTTGCACCCTGACGGGGCCGGGAAGAAGGCTTCCGATCGACGGTTGCATTCCCTGTGAACTTGGTCAGTGGAGGATTTGGGCTTGTGAAAGGGGTGTGTGTGTGTGTGAGAGAGAGAGAGAGCTTGCATGCCATTCAGTCAAAGGCCAGCAGGTACAGAGCGGTGGTTTCAGTGGTGCTGATTTTTTGCTCTTGCAGTCTACCCAAAAAGTCGATTTCTCCTACAACCCGCTGTCTGACAGCAAGTTTTCATTCTACGATGCCAGCCTGGTTGAGTCTGTGAAGAGGGACGATCCGCCGACCCACAAGTTCTTCCGACTGCTCTCCCTCTGCCACACGGTGATGCCGGAAGAGAAGGAGGAAGGTGAGGGCCTGTTTCCTCCTCTGTCCTTTTCTCTCTGGGGTGTCCAGTGACTGGGCCTTCCAGGCGGAGCTGACTTGGCCTCTCTTCCTCGGCCCGGCAGGCACCCTGGCGTACCAGGCCCAGTCGCCCGATGAAGGGGCCCTGGTGACCGCTGCCCGCAACTTTGGCTTTGTGTTCCGGGCCCGCACGCCTGAGACCATCACCGTGGTGGAAATGGGAGAGACGGTGGTCTACAAGCTGCTCGCCATTTTGGATTTCGACAATGTGCGCAAGAGGATGTCCGTCATCGGTATGTCCATTCCTGTAGGGCCCCCTGGTGGAAATACGTGTGTGTTGCAAGGTCTAATCCAGTCATTATAGGGTTAATTTGTTTACCTTGTGTGCTGTTGTTTAGGCTGACCTGGAAGGGAAACCTGGCACAGAGCCAGTGAAAACAAAGCCCCCCAAATCTAAGTCTGTTTTTTCACAATCATTGGTTAATGTGTTTAAGTGATTTCCTTCTAGGGGTCAAGAAGAAGAAGAATCTCCATTACAGTTGTTGTTGAGAGGCCGTGTGGTCGGTCTGTTCTGTAGCTGTAGAGGTGTAGCCTTCGGTCTTTTATTTTGTAGCTTTTCCTGTGTGCCCTTCCCTTAGAAATAAAGATTTTTACAAAGAAAGAAATGCCTCCTCTCCAGTGAAGCAAAGGTCCATTGCCAACTCTGAACATCTAAGTATTTCTGCTAATTTTTCCAACACCCCCTCCCCCCAGAATGACTGGCACAGTACCCGTTCCCCTGGCACTCTGCCCTGGGAGTTCTGCTTCATGCCACCAGAAACGAAAATTGCCCTTTTATACAACAGCGCGGACTTTCCAGACGGGAGTGCCAGTGAGCTGGTGCCAGACCTGCTGTTTACGCTCGCGGTGAATGCTTGGGACGCTCTTTCTGGAGCCTGAAGGAACAGGAGCCTTTCCCCGGCGGAATGCCCCTCGGTTCTCGCAGGTGGTCTTGTGCAGACCCAAGAGATATCCTGGAGGGTTCTTGTCACTTCCCTCGGCGACCAAAGGGACTGCGAGCAGAGAAGGGCAGGAGGGGAAGGCGGTGGCGAGAGAGCCGGAGAGTGCCTGTTGCCCTCTCTCGGAAGGCGGAGCAAGAACACTGTCAGGACCCACAGCCAGACAACAGAGCGCACGCTTCTTCGAAGGTTTTGCTTTATGGCTAGCTCTATGGTAGCAGAGACACAGGCACTGTTAGGAATGTCTACATCATAGAAAGCTGAGAGAGAGATAGGGTATTCGAAAGCACCCCCCCACCACCACCTATGGGCCAATCGGCCTGACTCCCGCGGGCGGGAAAGAGGACCAAGACAGTTAGAGCCGAGGCTGGGAAACAAAACCAATCTCATGGGTAATTGATGGTAAGACACTACACCGGCTGGCTACAAGGTCAGTGATAACGAGGGGGGAGAAGCGAAGAGAAAGGAATGCGGCAGCAACTGGCACACAGGTCATGAAAGCGAACCCGGGCCCATAAACTATATGGCAGCATAGCTGACATGCTGCCCACCCAAAGATCAATCTCCCGGTCTACCCAGGAGTCCTCCCAGTCTACCCAGGAGTCCTCCCAGTCTACCCAGGAGTCCTCCCGGTCAGCCCGGGATTTCTCCCTGTTTCTCCGGGAACTCCCGGTGAAACTCTCACAAGAGCCTAGGGGCCCGAATATCCCCTACTTCCACCCACTCACGGTGCTGGGGCCCAAAACCCAACCATTCCACCAAATAAAACAGTTTGCCACATTTCACTTTAGAGTCCAAGATCTTTGAGATCCCAAAATGTTCTTCGCCCTCCACCATGATGGGAGGGGGTACAGGTTTTGTTGGCCGCCAGGGGCTTGGGCCTGGATCACGCTTCAGGAGGCTGAAATGAAACACAGAATGGATATTGCGCATGTTTTTAGGAAGGTCCAGCTCCACAGCCACCTCATTGATCAGGCGTTTGACTTTAAACGGGCCAGTGAATTTCCATCCCAGTTTGTGGCTGGGTCATCCCATAAAACATATGGCAGCATAGCTGACACACAAAGAGAAGGGGCACCGGGGGGAAGGACGTCCCTGAGATGAGCGAACTGAGAACAGGGAGAGCACAACAGACCAGAGAAAGCAGACAGAAGAAGAAGAGAAGAGATCGGATTTCTACCCCATGGCCCTTCACTACCCAAGGGAGTCTCAGAGCGGCTGACAAACTCCTTTCCCTTCCCCTCCCCACAACAGACACCCGGTGAGGTCGGTGGGGCTGAGAGAGCTCTTTCAAGGACAGCTCTCGTCAGAACTACGGCTTGCCCAAGGTCATCCATCCAGGTGCGAGTGGAGGAGTGGGGAATCAAACCCGGTTCTCCCAGATTAGAATCCATGCACTGAACCACCACACCAAACTGGCTCTCCGAAGGATTTGGCCTGTCCTCGCTAGCTCTGTTCTCGCCCCCGGCCCTGCAGAGTGACGCTGCCCCATCCATCACCACCAGCCACCCGTGTGCCGGCCTCTGCCTGTGTGCCGCGCATCCATCTGGCAGGGCAGTGCCTGGCGGGCTCTCACTCTTTGCCATTCTTCTTTTGTTCCCAGTGCGGAGCCCAGAGGGGGAGCTGACCCTGTACTGCAAGGGGGCCGACACCATCGTGTACGATCTCCTGCATCCTTCCTGCGAGCCCCTCAAGGAGAAGACCACGGAACACCTGGAAGTAAGCGGTCCCTCCCGTGGGTCTGCCACGAAGCGTGCAGAGGGGCCTCGTTCAGCTTGGGACTGTGGCACACGAGGAAAAGTGGCTGCAGCCCCACCGCGGGCCCTTTCCCCAACCTGAAACGGCCCCGGGGAGTCGCTGCTTGCCCTTTGGGGGGACTCAGATATATGCGGCAAGAGGTGGTTTTCACCAAGAGCCAAACAGCAGCTCCGGGACAGTATCAGGTTGGGGAAATGGTGTGTGTGTGTGGGGGGGAGAAGACTGAAACGGAATCAGGCTCCAACGCAGCTGGGAACACAGTCCCCCCCCACCCCACCGCCCATGGAATTTGCAAGGCGAGTCTGATCAGAAGCTTTCCTGGTGCCCCCGGGTGGTGACTTGAGGATACTGTAGTGTATAAATGTGCCCCATATAAACTCTGGGCCCCATGTAAACTCTTGGGTTTCAACTGCTGCGTGTTGCCTGTGAAGACCGGAAGGGCCCGTGTTTCGCAGGGCTTCCTAGCTAACGCCGAGCGCCCCTCGGGGATGAGTTTCCTGCCAGGGTTGGGAGCTTCCAGGGGATTTGGGGGGAGGGGTGGAGCCTGGGGGCAGCAGGGTGTGGGGAGGGGAGGGACCTCAACAGGGCGTGATGCCATATCGGTGTCAGGCTCCTTAGTCAGGTCACACCACACAGGGCTTCATAAGAAGATAACTGTTTTATTAGTGGTTCCAGTACTAAAGAACACGTGTACAGCTTGTGTCAGGAATGGCCGTCAGTGGTAGGCCCTCTGACTTATAGTGAAATCAAACATCCCCCCCCCCCCCCCACCCAACCACAAAAGTTACAGTTTGGGCGCG